CAAGTGCTCGCCAGAAGAATGTAGCAGCGATTCCACCCCCATGGCCTCTGAGCAGGTGGCATCTTCCTCCTTCAGGGGTGGCTGAGGGGAGGGGAGTGTGCTTGTCAGATCCTCCGTCTTACTAGGTTCTGGGGCCTCCACCTTTCCGGGGGGATACACGATGTTGGGGTTTACCCACATCCACAGGTTGGGCTCAAAATCTGGACCTGTGCAGAACAAAAGGAGATCATGTGCCATGGTTTGCTGGCTTTGGGTGTCCCTGGCATCCAGCCTGGCCATGGAGCCATGCCAGAGAGCTCACTACTCACCATCTTCATCAGCCTTGGGTTTTTTTTCCAGGGGTAGTCTTGGTGGATCAACTACTCGGAGTCTATATCTGGCAACTAGCAAAAAGAAAGAGAAGAGAGTCAAAAATCCTAGGATTTCCACTGTGACCCTAGGATCCTGGCTCTTGAAGCTTCTCTGGGAGAGGGTTGTGGGTCCTGCCTGGGGAGTTGTGACACCAAATTCTTTTTTTTTTTTTTTTTTAAAGATGACCGGTAAGGGGATCTCAACCCTTGACTTGGTGNAACCCGGGGCCTTGGTGTTATCAGCACCGCACTCTACCGAGTGAGCCACAGGCCGGCCCGAGTGACACCAAATTCTACTGGATTTCCCTTTACCTCTCTTTCTCATTCTGTCCTCACTCTAACGTACTGTTCCTGAACGATCTCATACATGCCTTTAGCTTCAGTCACCATGTAAAAGTTTATGGCTCTCAAATATTTATCTCTGGCCCAGACTTCTCTGCTAGCCCTCAAGAAGAACTGCCTACTAGTTGTCTAAAGATTTACTTGTGTAGCCCACGGGCACTTAAAACAGCATTTCTAAAACTGGATTCCATTTTCTTGCTCTTCCTCCTGTATTCCTTGTCTCAGAGAATGGCACCACCATCCAACTGGTTGTTCAGGGCAAATACTATTTTTGTACCCTTTGCAATCCCCATGAATGTCATTATATTACAAATGAATGGAGCTGGCTCGTGGCTCACTTGGGAGAGTGTGGTGCTGACAACACCAAGTCAAGGGTTAAGATCCCCTTACCAGTCAATCTTTTATTTTTTATTTTATTATTTTTTTTTTTTTTAAAAAAAGATGACAGGTAAGGGGATCTTAACCCTTGACTTGGTGTTGTCAGCACCACACTCTCCCAAGTGAGCCACGAGCCAGCTCCATTCATTTGTAATATAATGACATTCATGGGGATTGCAAAGGGTACAAAAATAGTATTTGCCCTGAACAACCAGTTGGATGGTGGTGCCATTCTCTGAGACAAGGAATACAGGAGGAAGAGCAAGAAAATGGAATCCAGTTTTAGAAATGCTGTTTTAAGTGCCCGTGGGCTACACAAGTAAATCTTTAGACAACTAGTAGGCAGTTCTTCTTGAGGGCTAGCAGAGAAGTCTGGGCCAGAGATAAATATTTGAGAGCCATAAACTTTTACATGGTGACTGAAGCTAAAGGCATGTATGAGATCGTTCAGGAACAGTACGTTAGAGTGAGGACAGAATGAGAAAGAGAGGTAAAGGGAAATCCAGTAGAATTTGGTGTCACTCGGGCCGGCCTGTGGCTCACTCGGTAGAGTGCGGTGCTGATAACACCAAGGCCCCGGGTTCGGATCCCATGTAGGGATGGCCAGTTCGCTCACTGCCTGAGTGTGGTGCTGACAACACCAAGTCAAGGGTTAAGATCCCCTTACCAGTCATCTTTTATTTTTTATTTTATTATTTTTTTTAAAAAAAAAGATGACAGGTAAGGGGATCTTAACCCTTGACTTGGTGTTGTCAGCACCATGCTCACCCAGTGAGCAAACCAGCCATCCCTATATGGGATCCGAACCCGTGGCCTTGGTGTTATCAGCACCACACTCTCCCGAGTGAGCCACAGGCCGGCCCCACCAGTCATCTTTTAAAAACAAACAAACAAACTCAGGAGAGTGTGGTGTTGGTATTACAAATGAATCTAGAGTTTTTGTTTGGGGAAATGATGATATACTTATTGGAGAGCTCAGTAATTAGAAAGGAGCCCATCACACTGCTAATGTTCAACATAGTATCCAAAAAAGGAAAAAATAGCAAAAGATATAAAGTTGGAAAGAGAAAGGTAAAACTATTATAATTTGGAGAGAAAAATGATTAACAGAAAACCATACAAAACCAATATACAAATTATTAGAACCAATAAGAGTACAGCAAATTTACTGGATAGAAGAACATACTCATCAATACTGTTCCTCTATACCAGCACTAAAACTGGAAAATACAGTTTTTTTTAAAAAAGTTTCTATTTATAATAGTGACCAAAGTTGTAAGTATCTAGTAGTTAACCCATGAAAGAATGGACTAGACCTTTATGGGAAAAAAAATGTAATCACCATTTAAGGACTTAGAAAAAAGACTGAATAAACAAAGACATAATACACAGTATAAAGAAGCCAATTACCCTCAAATTAATCTATAAGTTTTATGCACATATTATATAATATGTAAAAATTAAAAGGTCTGTACTGGCTGGTTAGCTCAGTTGGTTAGAGCGCAGACTTAAAACACTAAGGTCACAGGTTTGGATCCCCATATGGGCCAACAGGAAAAAAAATTAAAAAGGTTCTGCATAGTAAAAAGTCACCATAAGTGAAAAAATAAAATAAAATCAAGACAATAAAATAAACCAGAAGAAATTTCAACCCCAGGGGCCGGCCCGTGGCTCACTCAGTAGAGCGTGGTGCTGACAACACCAAGCCAAGGGTTAAGATCCCCTTACCGGTCATCTTTTTTNGAAAGATATAAGTGGGCCGGCCCGTGGCTCACTCAGTAGAGTGCGGTGCTGATAACACCAAGGCCCCGGGTTCGGATCCCATATAGGGATGGCCAGTTTGCTCACTGGGTGAGCGTGGAGCTGACAACACCAAGTCAAGGGTTAAGATCCCCTTACCGGTCATCTTTAGAAAAAAAAAAAAAAAAAGAAAGAAATTTCAACCCCAAATTCTCAGTTCCCTAATACATAGAGAGCTCCTACAAATCAATAAGTAAAAGGCCAACACAAATATACAAGTGGGCAAAAGATAAATCAGCATTCACAAGGAGGGGATACCTGAATGGCTAACAAGATGCTCAGCCTTATTAGGAGTAAGAAAAATAAAATAGTGAGATAACACTTTATAGCAATCAAATTGGCAAGAATTATAAAGACAGATAAAACCAAGTGTTGAGAAAGATGCAAGGAAGTAGAATGCCTTATTACACTGCAGTTCTGAGTATCAGCTAGTATAGCCATCGTGAAGAGCCACCAGGCAGGATTATACTTTACTGTACTTTAGGGGTCTGGCTACTTAGCTCAGTTGGTTAAGAGTGCAGCCTTAAAACACCAAGTCCATGGGCCGGCCCGTGGCTCACTCAGTAGAGTGCGGTGCTGATAACACCAAGGCCCCGGGTTCGGATCCCATATAGGGATGGCCGGTTTGCTCACTGGGTGAGCGTGGTGCTGACAACACCAAGTCAAGGGTTAAGATCCCCTTACCGGTCATCTTTTTTTAAAAAACAAACAAACAAAC